ATAAATGATAAAATCAAATTCTCAAAAAGTTTTGTTTGATAGTATAACTAGAGTTTATTCTTCACGGCCGTTTATAAAGTGATGAGTTGAAAATGTTTATTTTTATTTTTTTTTACAAAATAAAAAATCAAATTCACGGCCGTTTATAAAGTGATGAGTTAAAAATGTTTATTTTTATTTTTACAAAAATTTAATGGAGTGATTTTTTCCCAAAATAATACATATATGATAAAATCAAATTCTCAAAAAGTTTTGTTTCATGGTATAACTAGAGTTTATTCTTCACGGCCGTTTATAAAGCGATGAGTTAAAAATGTTTCAAAAACTTACTATAATAGGCTTCTTATTTTAAAAAGATATATGAAAAAAATTGAAATGCTGCGATATTTTAAAAATAAAATTAAATTTGAATCTTGGAAGTAATAAACCATCTTTTACTATCACGTGACTTTGAAAATTTTCTTCCTTAAAGAGAAAACCATTCGTACAGTTGGAATGACGCATGTACAGTAGTAAATTCAAGGTATTCTTTTAGATATTTTGATGAAAAGCCTTACAAACTAGGGTTGTGTTGCTACTCTGGAACCAACGGATGCTAAAACAATCTTTAAAATACTGTTTCTCCGCCCTCTTCCAACTCGGGATGAAAATAAGTAAGGTTAGTGAAAAGCTGGGTTTTTTTTCTCTAAGAAATTGTTCACATCAATGCTGAGTTTTCAAAATCTATTATCGGGAATGCATACAAATTAGTTAAATCAGGTTTGAGCCGGGTCAATTTTAGGCAGTCGGCAGTGAAAGGACAAAAAAAAATAATAATAAAAAATATATATATCGATTATATATTCCATAATTATTTTTTATCAATTACTTTTTGTAATATTTTGTGACTCTATTGCTGACTATCTATTAACTGTACTTTCTTAAACGTTAAATAAAACAGTTATGCACAGATCGAAATACATAAAATGCAAAATAAAACAGGAGACATCGTAAAGCAAACCTTCACTTGGTCGAGGAGTAAATCCTTCAAAACAAGGACACATTTCATCACGAGAGGTAGCCCAAAAAGGCAAGGGCAAAAGTTGTAAATAGACCTTGTAATAATAGGAAATTTTAATAATGTTCTAAATAAGGCTCAAGGAATTATTATTCCTTGAGCCTTATTTAGACCATAATTCAAATTTTCTATGGACTTCATCATTATTTAGATGTAAATCATTATATCTTCACCCCATGCGCAAATTTACAAGATCAATTTTTAACAATTATATGAATATAAACATATATATTATTTTCGCAATTTTTTTTTTCGAAAGTTGTTCCAAATTGCCTTATTAACTGTGTTCAACTATGTCAATAAATAGTATTAACCATATTTGGCATAACATTTATCTTCTAGGTATAAATTTAATGTCCCGATAGCTAGTAAATGAAAACAATCTTTGATTAGTTTGGTTATCGCATTCAAACTAAGTTTGACTAAGGACAACTCCGTCTACTGGATCAAAACACGTCTCTTTGCGGGGTTGACAAAAGGCACTTCTCTCAGACACCTATGTTAACTTAAGGTGTTTCCAGGGTCCCTGTTTTTGTTCTGTGCACAATTAGAAGCTAAGCTAGTTTGTAATTGGCCATGCATGCGCAACAAAAACTGAGATAAACCATCCATTTTTCAGGGGTACTTGATTTTTAATTTTCTATAAGAGCAACGAATTCAAGTTTCTGTCATTTAAATAAGAAAAAAACAGTGCATTTTACTGAGATATTTGGTTTGTAGTTTTCAATGAGAGCAACGAATTTAAGTTTCTGTCATTTAAATAGGAAAAACCACATAATACATTGTATGTCAAAAGATCAAGCTGTTTTCTCTACATAGGAAGGGTGACGTTATTCTTGCTCTGAATTGCATTACGTGCACAGGAAACCTGATAAATTATTATTTAAATTTGTTTGTAGCATTCAGTGGCGAAATAGGCAATACAAAAGAAATGACAGACCTAAACATCAGCAAAGTTGTTTTTCTTTTTCTATTAAGGAATTTAATATCACTTTGAAGAACTTAGTATCGAAAATAAAATGGCTTAAAAATAGTGAAAGAATTGTGAAAAGGGCTTTAAAATAGTGGAATGATTGTAAAAATTAAATGCTCATGAACATTGTTTATCAGGATAAACTTCAAAATTTTGTTTTCCCCTGCCTTCTTCAAAGAGAAGCAACCTAACAAGGACTAAAATTATTTAATACGAAAAAAATGTAAGTTTCATACGTTCTTGAATCATGAGTTTAATGCCTCCAAAGGACAGAAATGTCTACACTTAAGTCTTTGCGTATATCTATTTATATAAATTGATATGTCAATTTTTCAATTTTACGAGGAGTTACAATCGCTTTTTGATTTGAAATCGGTAATTTCTTACAGCAGTGTGACCTACATAATATCGGGGAAAAAGTACCTGGAGTCTTTAGCTGTTAATCACACGAAATTCTACCCATTTTAACAATGACAGATGCTTGGAAAAAAAGAAACAGGCTCGCAGGTTTGAACATAAAATTTAGAAGAAATGGAATTACGAATATATGCAGTATATTGTGAATATTAATGAGAAAAAATCACGTGGAAGCAATCTCATACATAAATTGCGCACCATTTCTCCATTTGTCAAAGGTGGAAGGAGGTGTCATGGAGGATAATTCATCGCCTGTCGACTTGTCATACCAGACGTGTGCACCTTTTTATGACTGGGCAAACGAAAAATACACAGAGTGAAAATAATAATCCGACGAAAAACACCAGTCAGTATTCATTTGTATTTGCCAACAAGTCATCGTATCTACAAAAGAATTGTGAAATGTTGGCGTTAAATAAAATTGTTTAGACTTTTGTTCCATCATATTCATTTCTCCAAATGAAGTTGATAATGGTATATTGCTAAAAGTTATCATTTTTATCATCAAGTTTGTTGTTGGGTTGCGTTTATTGTCTTTCTGTTAGTAAAATATCCAAATATAAGAGTTGTTTCAGACGCAGTGTTGTCATTTATTTCGAGTGCAAAGGGTTACAGCTGAATCAACGTCGGTATGAAAATTTCATACGAATTTTGGAAGAAAGGTCATTTGAAAATGAATAAATTATATGAAATATTAAAATAAAAGTCATTTTTCGATAACTATTTGACATTTAAAGTAAAACAACATTACCATAACGTTACCTCTTGCAAACTTTAAAGATTATTTTTGGTATAGGGAGGTCTTGTAAATAGGTTTCTAAAAAATGGTTTTATTTACCCCCATCTGACTTTATGGGTTATATAATGATAACCTCCTTAAGCTCCCCACTCCACCCCACCCCACCCCAACAAGAAATCTGAAGCCCTTTAGCACGTCTACAGGACACAATTTATCATTTTACAAAAAATGTAAGACGAATTTAAGGAACCGGGATTTTGCAGGTAAAGAGTAAGATTTGTAGTTTAATTTCATCTCCCATTTGTTCTTTATGATGAAAAGGAAAATGTTGAAACTTTACTGCAAAGTTCAATGATACCACTTACTACTAGTATTTTTCGAAAGATGAAGAAGAAGAAATCATTATTATACACCTTGATGGACGAACAGGGATAACAACTATATACCGGACCTTCGTTTTCAAAGGGCTGATATGACGCCATCTTTAAAAGATAGTTTGGTTGCCCTCTCCTAACTGACTGGTTTATAATGGACCGAATCAAAACCTTTTTTAACCTTTAGGAAAAGATTTTTTATTTATTCTGGAAATTAAAATAATATATTTTTGAAATTTAGCATTGAAATTGATACACATGTATATTTTTTTTAGAAAAATAATTTTCTCACCTACCTACCGGCCAAAATTTGTTAATCCTAAGTCCAGAGAGGGCGGCAAACAAACATTATTTCAAAGCTGGCCTAACTTTTTTTTGTTAATTGTGTCCAAAGTACACTTGTTTGCCTTCTTTATTGGGATTGTTCGACTTTAAGCAAAAAGAAAAAAAAACGAGCTTTTCAAAACTTCTTCTATTTTGTATTGGATTATGGACTTTTGAGCTCGAATACTGTTCTTTATCGCCATATTTCATTGAAATCATGCATGTTCCATTTCAAAGAGCAAAGAAACAATTCGTGTGATTAGTGATAAGATACGAACATTTATCAAGTTTAAAAGTCATATAAATGATACAAATCGGTAGAAGATCATGCAAGAATCTAAAAACATCAGAAATGAGATCAGGTGCCATGGAGGATTGAGCATCCTCAGTCAACCAGTCACATGCGCAGTAATCTTAAAGAAGTATGATTAACATTTCTTTTTGCATTGTCTTGAGATTTGAACATTGAAACGAAATTCTGATTTATTATTTTTTTGCACAAATAATTTGTACCTAGCATACCGACGTGCTGAGACCACCTTCTACTTCTATTTCACCAGAATAATTAAATGTGCATGTTTAAACATAGTTAATAAGAACAATCAAACTTACACGGAGAAAAAAAATTATCTGCAGGGTCGATATTTTTTCATTATTAACTGTTCTTTGATATGTCACGATAAAACATATGTTTTGCTCGATTAAAGACGCGGTAACGTCCTTCTGAAAAAATAGTAATACTCAGTTTTAATTCTTTAAATATTGGTAATGTCAGGGTGATACCAAGCAAGTGGAAAAGCGGAATGGAAGTCTTATTTTTTTTATTATGTATAAAAAAAACTATATGAAAAAATGAAAATGTTTATCGTGTTCTAAACTGCAAGAACTCCGGCTCTGTTCCTGCAAGATTTTATTATAGGAAGTCCTGAAATAGATAAATGCAGTCTGTAGAATTAATTACCAGGAATGCTAAATAAGTTCCATGTGACCAATCTTTACCGAATAAGATGTGTCCAATATGTCCATGTGACTGAATCTCAAAGAGTGACAAATCTGCAGAAAAATCAGGAAGGAATTTCCTGTGCTTTTATATAAATGAGTTTGCAAAAGGCGTGCATAGCGATAAGTATGGTTGTAAATTGCGTTTTGTTCATTTCATGAAAATTAGCCAGTGAATGTATAACTGTTTTGAATAATTACAATGGCTGAAGGAAAAAGTAAATCTAGAACTATGATTGGTAAAGAGGAATCCAGAGATGGGAATGTTAGACAAGGCTTGGTTTGTATTCTTTAACCTTTATTTATTTTTTCAATCTTTAGAGAATATTAAAATATTAATTTCAATGTGAAAATAAAGGCTTCATTTCTAAATGTTTTAATCATATTAAAACATTTTGTTTTAAAAATATAAAAAAGAACAAAACCTTTTTTTTATTTTCAAAAAATTTACTTACTTAATACACGTATGTAAGTACATGTATGTCTGCATCAGTTGAATGTATAGTTTATGTGTGTTGCTCTTTTGTTACAAAATATTTTTTGAAAACAAAAATTAAAACAATAAAGCTTTAAAAGAGTTACTTCGTCTAAATATTTCTTCTTGATAGTTTATTTTGAATATTTGGCTCCAAATGGAATTAAAAAAAGTTGCAGAACTTTGATTTTAATTTATTTTTGTGGGGAAAATTAACTTAGGTACAGATAATTGAAATTTCTCTGATGAATGCATTAACGACGAATTATTTCTTCATAAAAACTTTTAAAAGGATTACTTTGAATCTATGCTCTCGAAGATAGCTTTTTTTATTTTTTTATTTTCTAGGCGAGAAAATTTTAAAAAAAAAATTGTAATGCATAAAATAATTCTAAAAAAATTTTTGGAAGATTATCCATGCAAAAAAAAAAAAAAAAAAAAAAAAAATAAGCAAAGAAATAGCTGCAGTTCTTTTATGATTGGAATTTTTAGACGGAATTGATTGGTTTCATTATACAGTTTTTAATAACTGCATTATTTAAGCAAACATCTCGTCATGTGAAATTTAAAATGAAATAAAAATCACATGCATTTTCAAGGCCAGTTCCATGAACACCGTGCCCTGAAGTAAAATACATTAACATGTTTATAACGCAATAATTTTACCTTGTCTTACAAGTTTAAAAAAGTTATTCCTTAACATGTTAAAGAATTCGACATGAAAGTCAAACAAGCCATTATGTTACCTACTTACTAAATTCTCTGAAGTCGTTGGCGGTAAGGGCAGTTACGGTCGTTCTGCATCCTTGTCTGTGATTGGCTCGCTTTTTGAGTGTGTCCCAATCACAGAATTCCCATCATCCAGATGGGAAAATGTTACTGTAAATGTTTATGAATGCAGTAGAACATGTTGCTGGAAAAAAACTATGAATATCTTATATCTTTCATGTTGCAGATCAGGTAATGAAACCTATATTAGCTTGCCTCGGTTTAAATATTTATCGTACTTTAATTAACAAATACGTTTGGAATCATTTATTACATTTTCTACCGGAGTCTGATATAGAAAATCGTAGATATAAACATTTGTCTTCTGACCATGGCGTTAATTAATTATTGTAGTATTGTGCATTTTTTTTTTGTTTTTTTAATTTTAAACTCATTTTCGAGTTCTATGGAATCCTATGAAAAATTTTATAAGAAACAACCAAAATGAAGCGGTAAAAAAATGACGTTAGAAGGAGAAGGATGTTTTCCCTAGTTTCGAAAAATTGATATAGATCTAAGAAATAGACAAAGAAACTAGAGCAAAGCTCGTTGCAAAGCAACGAGTAGGTCTTCCGTCCTGTTTTGACCGGAAGTGACGTCAGCAAAAGAAAGCAATGAGCTAAGTCGTCTCCAGTCACTTTTTAAATTCAGTTTTGCATCAAAACCTTTAAAAAAGCTATTTTTGGCTACTTCCGGTTTGACCGGAAGTGATGTTGACGGACGGAAAATTAAGTTTTATGCTTCCTATGACATATGTTACCCAAAAACTTGTCAAGAACGGCAAATATATTGACGACTTCCGGTTTGACCGGAAGTGACGTCTCCGGACGAATTTTGACGACTTCAATAGATTAAGCTTGACATTTTGAACAACTTTGCTTCTTTGACGTATTACAAATTCTCAAAACTTTTTGAGATATTTGGAAAAAACTTTTGGCCCCTCTAGATCCCTTAATTTAGGGGTCAGCCTTTTTTTTCGAGTTATCATTTGAAAGATCTTTTAATTCTGCACAAATTTTGTTCTATATGTATTAACAAAATATTTTTAGTTTAGAAGATAAAAAGCAAAATAAAATTTTCGCTCTTTTAGGCGTTATAATTTTTGACCCCTGTATAGCGCCATTTTGAATAGAGAAATCGAAAAACAAAAACCGATGTGCACAACTTCAATCCTTCTATTATCTAAAATCAGTTCAATTTCTGCTCCAGCTTTAGCCGTCTCTGAGCCTTTGTCTGGAAACGAACGCCTATAAATTTTCGTTTGAAGGGAAATAACTCAAAACCGGAAGTGATTTTTTGAAATTTTAGACAACAATCTGATAGAGTTTAGTAACTTCGAGATACTCTGAAAATTTGAGCGAAATCAATTGAAAAATGAATGAGATATGAGGCTTCAAAGTTGGCGTCTAGGAAGTAGAAGAAAAAAAAAAGAATAATAATCTTTACCAACAGAATCAGTAGAAGGTCTTCCGTTGGAAACGGAAGACCTTAATAAATGCACACAAGGTGCAATTTTTTTAATAAAAAGAAAAAAATAAAAAGATCTAGAGGTGAGATGCACTCTAAATATCTATTTGTAGGTCCAGCTATGTAAAATTAGCCACATCAAAGACACATCATGCTAGCATAATGATGTAATCATCTTTTCCCAAACATGTACATTTATTTATTGGATTTTTAGAATATATTTGTTATTCTTTTTATATATTTGACCTGTGGTAGTTTTGGTTTTTTTTTACGACTTTGTTGTTGAGATGATCTACATTAACAACTGAAAACTTTTTGAAAAATTGTGTCCCTTTGACAATATGAGTGCGAAATTAAAAAAAAATCCACATATTTAAAAAAGGAAACAACAACAAAAAGTAATAAAAAAAAGAGGAGAGATAAAAAAGAAGAATATCATATGTTGCATTTCCATTTTTGTTTTATGGACTTTTGAACTTGAATACTGTTCGCCCATATGTTACTTTAAAGAAAATCTAATGATCTTTTAAATTAAAGGACAATGTGGCAAATATGAGTGGAGTTCTAGAAATACCAAGACCAAGTGATAAAAAGGGAACATTGACAACTCAACAGATTATCAAAAGAGGTAGTACAATTTCAAAGAAAACGAATGTAAAATGTCTAGTAATTGTAAAGGAGAATGTAGTATTATATAGAAATAAAAAACATGTACATCTGTACTGCAAACCAACTTCTATTCGCGAGTTCGCGACCTTCTTTAATTTGGAAAAAATTCTTGTCGCGAGCCAATAATAAACCCAAGTATTTATATATAATATTGCCTGAGTCGTGAACATTAGTAGTCGCGGATTGATTCCAAACTTAAGTATCGCGAGTGACTGTTGGTTTACAGTGATTTTAAAGTATTAGTTATATTAAAAAGTAATAATAAATCACTAATATAACTGCATTCCAGGTGTTCAGGATCAGAGAGACAAAAGAATATGTACAGACATGAGAACACTGGTGTCTTATTGTATCGTCATCAGAAGACTTCAAGCAATGTCTTCATTGTAAGGCAGTGTTTACAGTATAACGTAAAACGATTTTTTCTGAAGTATATTTGACTAAATGTTTTGTTTATATAAAGTTTATGATTATAAAAATAACATTTTCCTTTTTTATATCACTTTGACTGAAAATTCATGGAAAAAATATGCGAAAAGTTTGTCTTTTGAATTTTCTGAGAACACCTCACAAATTCTAAATTTAGGAGAACAATCGGTATAGGCAATTGAAAAAAGGTAAATGTCAGAATAATAAAAAGTATCAGTTTAAGAGTAAATAAAAATGAATAACACAAACTTTTTTCTTCCCAAATTCAGATATTTCTTTACTAAATAAGGTGTGTTTCCTACTTTGGAAGACTTCATTTAGTTGAACAGCTTTATGTTTGGGCAAGTCACATTATTTGACGAAATGGAAAAAAAAACAACTTTACAGTTCAATATATTTTTGAATACTTTAGTTTTCTCGCTTAAGAGTTTCTGGGGACGTTTTCAAGAGTTGATTTATACATATGACACAGTTTAACATTCTGATTTATATTTTAATTGAAAAAAATACTGAACAAAATACAAATGTAAATCTTCTTGTGGCAGATAAGAAAATGTGTTGGTGGTGCATGTATGTACCTTTAAAAGCTATGTATCGTTTTCTCAACTTAGTTATTTGTTATTTATCTGAAATGTAAATGTACAGCATAAATCTATTTTTTATATCATTCATAAATACAGGAATCGAAGCGATATCAAGAGGAATGCCATCGGAAAAAAATGTGTTGAGGCACCAACTATGGCAATGATGAAATCTCAAACCAGACTTAAAATGCACCTGCAAAAGCTGGATAGAAGACTTGGGGTAATTAAATTTTATTAGATAAAACTGAGTAGTAAAACAGTGAAGCAACTTAACATTTATATTTTGATTTTTATTTACTTAGCATATTGTACCACCGATACATTTGTTACAAAGAATGGTTTTAAAGATAGAAGGAAATCATTTGCATTGTTTTCAATGCAAAAATGTACAGAAAAAAGGGAAAAAAGTTTCGAAGTCTTTTTCAATAAACGGGATAATTGACCTTTGAAAGCCTGTCGAAAGAATCCTAGCTTTTTTTTTCTTTTGGAAAATCCAATCAAGAGATAGTACTAGTATGCTTTAGAGTTAGATCACTAATTGGACCATATCAGTAGATATAATTAAGTGTTCATTAAGTGTTACATATTGAAGAATTGGGAGCCATTAAACTTTTATTTTAAGAAGGAAAAAAGATTGGCGGAGTGTATAACATTATTTTAACATTAAATTTAATTTATTAACTCATTTGATAAATTCGGATTGAATATTTAAACAAGACATGAATTTTAATTGTAGGTATTAGAAGACAAAGTGCGAATCTATGAGATGTTGAAAGATTTACAAACTGATACAAGTGGTTGCCTGAAAGAAAGGGAACAATGAGCTTGGAATCAGCGTTTCATGGATGAAGCTGGATTTATTCCAATTGCTTCATCGTCATAAACGAAGTGGTCCCTCCCCCCCAAATTTCAAGTTTTATTGTTGTCTTGGTGGAGGTGGACAATATATCAATGGACAACAAACAGATTACTGTTGATGATATTTTATGCATTACTTATTGTTCTTAAAGTTTGATAGCAACCACTTTTTGGAAAAGGATCTAAATTTGAGCACTCAGAGAAATTAATTGAATGTTTTGTTTTTACTTTCCCTCTTAGACGTCTTATAGATGAAGCTGGATTTATATTAGTCGCTAAATAATCATGAACGAAGTGGTTTTCTCCCTGAATTTCAAATTTCGTTTTTTTTTGTTGGAGGAGGTGGACAATAAATTAAATGAACAACAAACAGATTTTTGATGATATTTTAAGCATAAGTTCGTGTTCTTAAATTTAATTTCAACCACTTTTTGAAAAAGGATATAAATTTGACCACTCAGAAAATATATGATTTTTTTTTATATCAAGGAATATAATTACATGTATACAATTTAGTGTACTTACTTTTTATAAAGATGGGACGTTTGCATTCATATATTGTTTCGAAACGCACATTTATAACATTATCACTTACGTTTTACTGTTTATCCAAGACCAGGGGAATTTTGATTGAACCTTTTTTTTCAGAAGCGCGTATACTATACTACATGTAATAAGTCGGTTGTATTTTTTTCAGATGATTTTTTTAATTACGTTACAATGGATCCTTTTATAAGTCAGTACGGTTAGTTGCTGCCAATTTCAGATAAACAATACATTGTATTAATATTTTACATGTGTTTGAAAGTATGTTTGGGGAATATAATCAAAATTTTATCAGTTATTAATTAACATTCAAAACCATTGCGTTTTGAAACCAAATAAATCTTCAAAAATGAACAATATATCAAAGTAGATATTAAAACATAATTGTTTGAAAAGTTTATTGAATTCTTTGATGTTAGAATTTGATAAGATACCCCGCCATTTGGCGAAATAAAAAAACCTCTTTCATCTGACATTTCATTATCACCATAGTTCATGATCATTTAAAAACTCAAAATTATGAAAATTAACAAAAAAGTCTGTGTACCTACTTTTCACTCTGTTAAGAAATATCTCGTTAAATCAGTAAAGAGGTAATGATCGACGCTACTAATAAAATTAACATTTATTCTAGTTATGCATATGATAAATATACGTTGAACTTACCTTCACCGTATTCCATGACGGATAAACATTATTTTGTTAAAATTTTTAAAGTAAAATTCCTTCCTATCTAACTGCCTGGTTACAAGAGTATGTTACTTCCATGTAATGCAATATATCTTTTGTGAAAATAGACAACTCGTAATTTTTTCAGAACCGACCACAAACAAACACCAACACAAACACCAAAACATAAGATATGCTAATTATATGTCATCAGAGAAGAATGTGATAAATATGACTAAAATATTGCTTTATTCAAGGTCTTCACTTTAGCAAGATAATCAAGAATATTTGAAAAGGAAATTTGAGTAAGATTCTGTATAAAGGCATACATATAATTAACAATAATTGATAGAAAAAAATTTTACTCAAGGGTTAAATTCTTGAGTGACATATTATTTTTTTTTCGGGTTCAAAGACAAATAGAAATGCATGCCATTTCCTGTTTCAGTATATAATTGTTTGATTTTCTATACGTTTATTAAAACAGAATAGACCGTAAGGAAAATGTTAGGTCAAAACGGGATTTTTTATTGGTGAAGTTATTTCTGTAATTAATGAATTTTCCGAGATCTCAAACTGATAATTGATAGCCTAATTTCAACTTTTAGATTTTTAAAATTATAATTTTCATAATTTAGATTTTCAGACTTAATTTCAAATCATGGAGTGGGTTTATTATCGGCTTATGGCACCGTGAAAATCTATCTAAACAGCTACAAATTTAAATTTCTATAAAATAAAATTGAAAATTCATGTTTTAGAGTAAATTAATTCATTTTCGATATAGAATTCGAAATTTTGTTCTCGAGGTCTGTTTTACCTTAAATAAAGTCAGAATTGTATTTCTGAAGTTACTGATTTAGCTAGTAACTAGTAATAAAATTTGGTAAAAGTAAGAAACATAGACACAAGGCATAGCAAAATATTTTCAAAGAAATTAAGGAGTCTAAAACAAAATGATATTATTAAATTAAGAAGAGTGATATACATGTATTTCAAATTTATTTTTGATATTCGGCAACTTCATATGATTATCACAAAGCTAATTCTTCTCATACTGTAGTAGCTACCGGATTTAAAAAGTTTAATGTAAATTTATTACATATTTATGTATATGTGTAGATAATATTACCAATTTGATAGTCCAATTTCATTCAATCTATTTCTTATAGGAAAGGGAATGCAAGTTTGTTTAATTCTAGCCTATCGTCTTCTATCGATATAAGATGTGCAATTCAATATATATAGCTTATTTTCAGGTATTATCTCCAAGCCGTGTTATAAAACTCGAAGTCTGGCATGCAGTTGTACTCTATCCCACTTCCTGAATAACATGTTTTTGTAAAAGTAGCTTTCAATGAATAACATTAATTTTAAGCACTTTTTAAAAATAAAATAAGGATTACTTGATTGATTCGATGCGCAAGAGCATGCTCTACGTATGAACAATTTCTAAAACGAGGTAAATTATTGACAAACAAGTTGATGAAACAAGAATATCAGCAGCCTCGTTTAAAGTCATCATTTCGTAAGTTCTTTGGTCGATACAATGACCTTATCAGCAAATACGATTTATCATTGAGTCAAATGCTGACTGACGTTTTTCATACTAATTGTTAGTCCATTATTTATATACTGAATTGACAACGGATTTTTCCGGTATTTCCCGATCATGACAAGGAGCAAATGGCGGGTGTGAACGGTCAGCATGGGATGCTCACTCCTCCATGGCACCTGATCCCACCTTTGATGTTTTAGAGGTCCGTGTTTGCTCTGTTCCTATTTTGTATTGTTTTATGGACTTTGTTATTGAATACTGTTCGGTATCTCCATATGTTTCATTCAAATCAAAAATATTTTGATGATAGGTGAAACATGTGTCTGATTCTAATTTATATTTTTGGAAGTCAAAAGGTTGGTTGAGGAAATAATTAAGTTTAAAACGGTATCGTATTTGTTCGATTTTCATAATTTCATAATTCATAATCACGATTGCTAAATAGTGTGTGTATTTCAAAAGAGAAATATTATACAGAGAATGTTACACACTAAAATCCATATCATATGTCATATCAGCCCGAGTGGTCCCATATCAGCCCGAGGGGTGATATTGGGCCCGAGGGCTGATGTGACCTATGATATGGATTTAAGTATATTGTATTCTATTTATCATATATTTAAAATACTTAATATGCTAGTTCACACAAGGTCATAGAAGAAAGTTTCGTACCTATTGTGATCTTTTTCTTTGAAATTTAATAGAGCCAATTTTAGGTAATTGAAAAGATGTTAAGTCCACAAATGTAATTACAGAATTATTTAACATATATATTTAATAAAATCTAGTGAATTAACTTTTAAACTTTATACAAGCGTTACTTCCGGTTTGATTTGGATTTTCTGCCCGCCGGTCCGAAACGTAATATGGATTTTTCGGACCGGTCCTTGATATGGGGTATTATGACGTTGCGCGCATCGCCCGTGTTGAATTGGTGTATTTACTACTAAGTATATGATAATGATTTTATCGGTCTTTGCATCTGATCCCCACTCTGATATTTTAAGGCGTCCGTATTTTCTCTGCTTCCAATTTGTATTATTTCGACGAACTTATTTACTTGATCATTGTACGTTTTTCTCATTGATTTCATTATAGCAGTATACATGTATTCAATACGCTCACTTTATTGTGTAACAACCCCAATTCCACGGCAAGTATTCTATTAATAAATGTTAGTTACACCGCTTGAGAAGAACAGGACCTGTTATATTAATCTGTGTATGAAAAAAGGTGAAGAGAAAAAAATAGTAATCGATCGCAAACAAGGCAAAATAAAAATCTGTGAACAGAGCATAAAACAAGGACCTGGGGAGATAGATTTATGAGCAAAGAGTAAGCGCATCTATTCCACAATTTCTTGTAAAACAATTGATTAAAAAAAAATAAAAATCTTTTATACATTTTTTTTAATTTTTCCTATATAGTACAAATCGAATTCATAAGTATATGGCTGATAATTTTTTTTCACAAACAAATAGTGCATCTTTTACATTGTCGAATACCATATATTTTCCACAAATATATAAACGGATTTGCTATAGAATTTAAAACACTAAGACTAAATACAACACCAAGAACTTTGGATGACATTTTCTCAATCAATAATGAAACTACCAGAGGTCCTGAAAAAATCACTAGTAATGTGATTAATACACCAACTAATTTCAAGGTACTAACAACTTTTTGCCTTTTCAATGCAAGCAAATTTCTAGAACACTGTGGTTTATCATTACGTCTGTCATTGATTGTCGTCGTATAACTCGAGGCGGACAAGGCAGTCGTATGAATCCCAGGAACATAAACCGTCGGTAATTCTATGGAATTTGAGTTACCCATAGGCTTAACCTTTTGGTTAGTTTTCATAACATAGCAAACAGTCACAAAGTAAAACATAAGCGTAAACGATAACAGGGTTAGAGAAATGGCCCTTACGTATATCGTGTGTGCCGAATAGTGATCATGATAGACATTATACATATATTACATGGCTTCGAGGGCAGCATTCCAGAATATTTGCCCCAAGGTGACAGGAAAGCCCTGGAGTGTTATGTCGTCCGATGCCGCAGGCAGAGGGCGACATAACACTCCAGGGCTTTCCTGTCACCGAGGGGCAAATATTCTGGTATTGCTGCCCGAGATATTAAGCCATGTAATATATGGTATATAACATTTTTAAGCATTGTGTGTGTTCACATAATGATATACATGTACGTTGAGTATAATTCCAAAATATCCTGTCCTGTTTCATGGCAGAATGTTTTCAGTATGCTGACACTTGTGTTGATAACTTTTGTCGTATTTAAAGAATTTTTCTCCTCAAATAAATTATCTAATACCTCTGAATTCAAATAAATAAATCGCAGACGTTGCCTCGACTTTTTAACTTTCGCGGAACTGTTTACGTTTGCTTAGTAACTGCCTCTGTGAATTTCGAACCCGACGTAATTATAATATGCAGAATGATTGCACGCGAGGGAACATAACTGTGTTCGGGAGGGCAACATAACCGTTTCCGGGGAACATAACTGTATCCGGCGTGATTCGGCAG